GCAGGCGCGCGCCGCGCCCCCTACCTCCGCGCGCGGGGGGTTTCCCTGCAGCCAGGGGCGGGGCACGGCCCGGCCCTGGGGCGAGGAGGCGCGCCGGTGGGGGACGCCCAGACACGGGACAGCTGGACACACACTGACACACTGACACACTGACTGGGACCCGCAGAAGCACTCCCCGGGACGCACACGCAAACTGACCGCCTGGACTCCAGGGTACACAAAGTCACGTGCTGATAGGCCACGGGGACAGACACTGGGACACACAGGTATAGTCTCAAATGCACACACTGGACAGGGCATGGGTGCGCAGACACAGAGGGGACACACACAGACTGACTCCCCAACAGGGTCACCTGGACACACAGCCTGGCAGAATGACAGGGCACACGTAGCTGTCCTGCCTAGGCACTCACACTGGCATGCAGGCGCAGAACCACTAAGTCCTGTGTTCACAAACATCCCGCTGAGCACACCTGCAGCCACACAGCCACACGGTAGTTCCAACAGACAGGAGCCAAGCTGAAGGAGTGTCAGGAAGTAACTTTCTGACAGGCACAGCTGGACACACTTCTCCCCCCAAAACACACCTGTCACACAGACACCTGGACACATAGCCTGATCCAACTACACCCCCACAAGGACACACACAAGCACATCCACACCAGCACACAGGCCAGACACTGAAGGTATCAGAAATTGATCCTCAGAGTCATAAATCAGGCACAGAAGAAACCCCACGCCCAACAGGCAGTCACAAAGTCACACACCTGTGACAGGTTCCTGCTACCTGGCCCACTGACAGGACACTCTCCAGAGCATGCACACCTGGGCACACTCCCCGTGAATCTGGCAGTGGATCTGTGGGGAGGAGGAAGCCCTGGGCACCTGGACATGCCCGGGCAGACCCTGCACCCCATTCCCTCCTGCTGCCTCTGGTGGCTCTCAGTTCCCTTTTCCTTTACAGTTTCTCAGCTTAACTTCCCTCCCCTGCTCTGACTGGGTGACCTTCCCTCCCCAGGCTTCTGGACTTCTGTCCCGTCTGCACTTTCCATTCCCTCTGGTTTCACTTAAACCAAATCACCTCGCTGGTAAGTGAGTCACTTCTGAGTACCCAGCACTGGGCTGGCTGAGAAAGGATGTCAGACCAACCTGAGCAAACCAAGATTGTCCAGGGGCTCAGACGTGGCCTTCTTTTGGGCTGGATCCTTAGATTTCCCTGGAGAGTCAGGAATTCCACAGCCACCTGCAATCACCGTGTTTTAAACACCAGGGACTAACTCGGCCTTCCTCCTCCTTGCCCCTCCCCTCCATTCATCCATCCACCTCCATTCTCCCAGTGTTGTTTTGTTCTGGGTGCTGAGGATGAAACCAGGGCTCAGGCAAGCTAGGCAAGCCCTCTACTCCGAGCTATTTCCCATGCCCAGTCTTATTGCTTTAATTCAACTTTATTGAGATATACTTGCACGCAATAAAACTAACATTTTGGGGGTATGCAGTTGGATGAGTTGACAAAAGTACACAATTATTTACTACCACAATCAAGACACAGTATTCCCATCGCCCCAAATACTTTTCCTTTTTTTGAATATTCTTTTTTTTTTTAGTTGTAGATGGATATAAACCTTTATTTTGTTATTCATTTATTTATATGTCCTGCTGAGGACTGAACCCAGCGCCTCACACTTGCTAGGCCACTGAGCCACAACCTCAGCACCCTACCCCACCCTCCAAATCCTTTTCTTGTGACTCTTTGCAGTCAGTCCCTCCTACCTGAAATTTCAATGGCCCTTGACCAGAGCCAAATACATCAGAGTGTGTGTGTGTGTGTATAAATATACATAAATACAGGGCTGGAGATGTGGCTCAAGCGGTAGCGCGCTCGCCTGGCATGCGTGCAGCCCGGGTTCGATCCTCAGTACCACATACAAACAAAGATGTTGTGTCCGCCGAGAACTAAAAATAAATATTAAAAATTCTCTCTCTCTCTCTCTCAAAATAAATAAATAAATATACATAAATATATATTTTTTCCTCTTTTTTGGTGTTGGGGATTGAACTCAGGGTCTCACACATGCTAGGCAAGTGCTGTACCACTGAGCTACATCTCCAGCCCTTTTTATTTTTATTTTGAGACAGAAGTCCGCCTAAATTGCCAAGGCTGGCCTAGAACTTGCAATCCTTCTGTTTCAATCTCCCTAATAGCTGGGCTTACAGTGTGTGCCACTGCATCTGGCAGAATACGAACATACATATTTATTTATTTATGGCACTGAGGATTGAACCCAGGGCCACTTAACAACTGAGCTATATCTCCAGCCCTTTATATTTTTAATTTTGAGACAGGCTAATCTCAAATTTAGGATACTCCTGACTCAGCCTCCTGAGTAGCTGGGATTATAGACATTTACCACCTTACCCAGCTTCCCCAGCAAAAAAAAAAAAAAAAAAATTATAATATATACATATATATTTTTTTAAGAGAGAGAGAGAATTTTTTAATGTTTATTTTTTAGTTATCAGCGGGCACAACATCTTTGTTTGTATGTGGTGCTGAGGACCGAACCTGGGACACACGCATGCCAGGCGAGCGTGCTACCGCTTGAGCCACATCCCCAGCCCTATAATATATATTTTATAATATAATATATATGGGATATTGTATCTCAGTATTAGATGACTTATCTACTGTGTATGTGGCCCTGGGTTCAATCTCCAGCAACACACACGTACATAATTAAATCCTGAAGTTAAAGTATAATTTGATGAAAAACTTATCAACCTATGAGTCAATAGTGGGTTGCAAAGAAAGTATATTTTTGGCTGTGGATCAGGTTCCAAGGCTTTTAAGAAATATTGCTTTGGGTTTATTTTTATCAATATTTATTTATGTATCTTTAGTTTTTTTTTTTTTTTTTATGTGGTGCCAAGGATGGAACCCAGCGCCTCATGCATGCTAGGCGAGCACTCTACCACGGAGCCACCACCCCAGCCCCTGCTTTGGGCTTATTAAATGAGATCATAGGTGGAAGTCAGTCAGTGCAGTGTCTCACACACAGTAAGTGCCTAATAAATGTTTGCTTTTATCATTTGCATAACCAACTAGTGTCAGGGTTTGTTCTGTGCCTGGCACTGATGAAGCCAGGAGCAGGAGGGACTCTTGCCCTCTGCTGGTTCTGGTCCACCTGTACCTCTCCCCCACCAATCAGTGCCCTAAGGCTGCCCAATGCAGGGCCAGAGACCAGCCCAGCTGTTCTGGAATGTTCTTCTGAGAAGAAAATGCATGAGAAGGGCAGTGGGAATTTTGCTTAGTGGCTGAGTTGGGAGAGAAGGAGAGAGGCTGGGCCGTCCACCAGGCCATCTACACTGTCACCAGTCAAGATCCCCCCACCATCTAGTCCAGATCCTGTTGCAAAGTCTGGCATCCTACCCTCCAGAGCAGGCAATTCAAAGTCCAGAGCCATCATAAATAAATGAGAGGAAAGAGTCCAGTGTGAGACAATGAGGAACAATGGGCACTGTGGCTAATTGGAAAGAGTGTGCTCTTTTGGAGACAAACAAATTCAAAATGTAAAGATATGTGGACAAAAAAAAAAAAAAAAAAAAAAGACAATGTCCCTTAGGAAGTCAAAGGGCAGTCTTTGTGCGAAGCCCCAGGGCCACAGGGAGGGACTAGGCCCCACCTCCACCTTTGAGTCCCGGCAGTGCTGGGGGCGGAGGCACTGGCTTCCTGAGTTCCTGGAGGGGCATTCTAGGCCTCCCTCCAATTTGGCCTCTCAGGCCCCCTGGAGAGGGGATGGGGGGCTCTGAGGCTTTAAAGGCCTCAGGGTGGGGGGGCTGGGCTGGGGCTGGCGGTGGAGCGCTGGCCTAGCCTGGGCGAGGCCCTGGGCTCCATCCTCAGCACCACGGAAAAGTAAACAAAGTAAAGGTATTAGGTCCATCTACAACTAAAACTAAGTTTAAAAAGATAAATAAAAGGGTCAGGGAGGCCTGTGAGAGGAGGTGAGAGACACAGGTAAACAGAAGGAGACAGGAAGATTCAGACCAGGGGAGCCGGAGGCCTGGGGAAGAGCCCAAAGGACACCAAATGGTGAGAGAAGGAGACCAAGACGGGTGGGGGTGGGGTGGCCGAGGGGGAGGGCCTGGCTTTGCTGAGACCTGGGTTTCTCAACCTCAGCTCCATTGACATTTGGGGTTGAAAGATTCTTTGTCGCGGGGGCTGTCTTGGGCTTTGTAGGTTGGTGAGTAGCATCCCTGACCTCTACCCACCGAGGTGCCTGGAACACCCCTTCTCTTTGTGACAACAAAAAACTTCTGGAAACAATGCCAAAGAAGAGTCCCTGGAGGAGGGCCGGGGCTTAGCTCAGGAGTGGAGCTCTAGCCTCACACCCTGGGTTGGATTCCGAGTACCACAAAAAAAGAAGAAAATAAAAAAGAACTGAGCCTATCTACACTAGTGAATTGAAAAACTAAATAACATGAAGCAAATATTCCCTGGGGGACGCAAGATCACTCCCAGTCGAAGCCAGTCAGACAGGGGGCTGGTGCTGTGGCTCAGCGGTGGAGCGCTTGCCTAGCATGTGAGAGGCCCTGGGTTCGATCCTCAGCACCACACACAGAGAAATGAGTAAAAATAAAGGCCCATCAACATCTAAATTAAAAAAGAAAAAGGAAACCAAACAGGGACCTCATAGCTGGGGCCCCTCCTTCCAAGGCCTGCATGCAGACCTTACTAAAGAGCCTGGGTCACCCCAGAGTGGTGGCACATGCCCATAATCCTAGCTACTGGGGATCTTGAGGCAAGAGGACAACAAGTTTAAGGCTGGCCTGCGCAACTGTCCCAAAGCAAAAATCCAAAAAAGGCCAAGGATGTAGCTAAAAGGTAGAGCTCTCACGGAGCTGATGAACCCCCTGGGAAGCCCCCAGTACCCTGTGTTGGGCAGGGCACTGCTCCGTCTAGATGGCCTGAGTCAAATCCCCAGCTCTACCACCTACTGGTTATGTGTCCTTGAGCAGGTGCTCAGATCTCTGGCTCAGTTTCCTCATCTGTGAGTTGGGAGGACAATGGTCCCTATCTCTTAAGAGCACAGTGAGAAAGTCAACACAAGGTCCTCAAGCTACGACCCTCAGGCTAGGGCAGGGATCTCAAAGAGGTGGCCTGCCTTGCCAGCCACTGTGTTTTGTTGACTTGCAGTTTCTCACTTGAACTTTAAAGCCTCTCCAAGGGGCTCTCAGTAGCAGGCTCCTCATTCATCCTCCCTGGGTACAAAGGATGACCTTGAGCAAGTAGCTTTCCTCTCCGTGCCTCAGTTTCCCCATCTGTATAAAGGGGATCACCGCAGGGCCAAAACTATTGTGAGGATCCAGCGTGTTGGTATTTGTAAGGTATTTAAGAAAGTGCCCAGCAGTAGCAGGCCCCGTGTGAGGTGCTGGTTACAGAAAGCAGATGTCCCAGCTAGTTACTGCGGACCCACAACCTTCCCCAGGATCTCCTGTGCCATCGGGGAAGTGGATTTTGGAGCACGGAGAGAGGGAGTTGGGAAGGACTTAACTTTTCACTGCAGGGCCCGAATCCTGGCTGTCCGCAGCGGGGAGGGGGCCCCTGGGTCCTCTCCATGCGGCTGCCCCGCAGGGCTGGAGGCTGGACCCAGGCCGGGTGGGGGCTGGGCGGGGGCGCGGGCGTCCGCAGGGTCCGAGCGGCCGGCGCGCGTGTGAAGGTTACCGCTTCCCGCCGGGGCGGGGGCCGCGCGCTGTTGCTGGGGTCTGCGGGGCCTGCCTGCGCCCGCAACCCCCCTCCTTCCCGGCCAGCCAGTGAGCGGTACCCGCCGCCGTTGCCAGGGGAAACTCGCCGCCCCGTTACCCAGCAACAAACCTGGCCCAACCAGGCGCGAGGACCCCCAGGCCCCGCCCGCCGCTGCCCACCGCGTGCCCAATGCCAGGCGGGCAGAGCCGGCCCGGCTCCCGGAGACGGCGAGCGAGCTCATTGGCCGCCGCCGCGCCCGCCCGGATCTGGGGGAGCCCTCGGCGCTGGGGGCGGGGAGCCAGGCCCCGGGGAGCTGCTGGGCGCTCGGCCTGCAAGCCTGCGGGCCGGCGGGGTGAGACCCCAGCTGGCCCCGGTCCACCTCCCTATCCCCCTGCCCCACACCTTCAGGCGAGGATGGGCATTTGGGATGGGCTGGAGACAGGGTTGCGCATCTCGTCCCCTCCCCCGCGGGAGGGCACCATGGGCTTGATCTTATGAAAACAGCCACCAAGTGTCCCCTGCCCAGAAGGAGACCGGCGCATCTGACCCGGTGAAGACAGACTGGTTGTGACCCCACCCCCGAGAGGATTCAGGCACCGTGGCTTTTGAAAACAGGAGCTGAGGATTCATCTCAGAAGAGAACGCAAGGGTCCTGGCCCCATAAAAACAGGGTGCCCTGTCCTCACAATGAAGACCCCAGCACCTTTGTACTCATTGAAAGAAGGATATAAACGCCCTTCTCCCAGGGGATGTTGGTGTCCTAGTCCCAGGAGATAAGACTGAGGGCTCCCTCCAAAATGGAACTCAGCATATCTGACCCCAGAACTGAGCCTCCTATTCCCACAGGAGATAGGGACCCCAGCCTCTGGACTCCAGGTCCCAAGATGCCACAGAGATCCTGGGCATCCTGGTCCTCGCGATATCAATGCTGGGAGATACATTGTCCTCAAAGGTCACGGGACCCTCGGGGGTCCAGTTCCTCCAGATGACCATCTATGCTGCCCTAAGGTGTCCACCTAGCTCCTTCCCTCCCTTCTGAGATTTTTACCCCAGGGTCCAGCTTGTTGATCTTTCAGGACCAGGACATCTGACCTCATAGCCACTTTCTCTGCTTGCTTCAACTATGCTAGGGTCCCAGGTCTCAGTGTCAAAGACCTTGGAGCCCAAGCCCTGAATCTCTACTCCCCCAGACACCTGGCAACGTGACCCATTCCTGGACAGTGTAGTGTGGGGGGCTGTCCCCGTGCCTGGAAGATCCAGCCTTCCAGCACCATTAGTTGGCCGCTAAGGATCTGGCGCTGGGAGGCCCCAGCCTCCAGGGACTCCGATGTGCATCCCTAAGTCACTTCAGGGAGGCCCACATTTCTCAGTCCTCACCCCAGGGAGACCCAAGGCAGCAGAGCCTGCAGTTTCAGACCTCAGCTCCGGACTGTGGTGAGCCCAGGTGCGGCCTGCCCCTACCCTGGTACCTGGTGGGGGCGGAGCCGAGGATTACTCAGCCTCCAGAATGAGGCAATGACATCATCCTGGGGGGGGGTTGACTAATGGCCGCGTTGGGGGGGGGGCGGGGAAGTTTACCCGGTAACAGCGGCTGTCGCTCAGCCCCGCCCCCAGGAAGGGCTGGAAGGGGGAGGTATTGCACACACACACAATATACACAAACACACACATACACACACCCAATTCAGCATCCCTCCCTTAGCACCCCACGCTGTACCCAGCTTCCCCTGGCAAGGGCAGAGATGGGGGGGTGTTTGTGTGACTGTGACCCTGTTTGTGGCTGGAGAGTTTTCTGTAGGTCTGTGGTCAGTATGCTGAGTGTCAGGAAGTTGGTATATTAGAGTGGTGGCTGTGTCAGTGTACTGTTGTCTGTCACTTGGTTGTGTATGATGATGTGTGACATTTGTTACAGTGTTATATGTGTATTAAACTGCTGTGATGATGCAATTGTGTGTCAGTGTGCTGTTGCGTGATGTTCTGGTTGTCATATGAGCCTGATGGTGTAACAAGTGTGTTGTTCTGTGCAGTGTGCTGGTATATGTCACTATGATAATGTTTGTGTGGGGTTATATATGTGTCACAGCAACGTTGTGTGGTGGTGTGAAGATTTGTGAAGGTGTTGTCACCGTACTGTTGTGTTAATGTGGTTGTATCTGTGTCTTCTGTGTGTTGGTGTGCTTGTGTTTGTGTCACTATGGTTGTGTCTGCAATGCTATATATCAGTGGGATTGTGTGTATATGTCCTCATGACAGTGTGTGTGCTTCCAAAGCTAGGTGTACATAGGATTGTGTGTGTGCCAATGGAATTGTGCTGTGTTGTGTGAGATGGGACTGTGTGTGTGACATTCTGATTGTATCTGAAATGTGTGTCTGTGGGATTTTGTGTCACCGAATATATGTGCATCTCTACACAGCTATGTCTCAATGTCATTGTATGAACGTGTACATGTTGTGTGTGTGTAACGTTGCATCTCACTATAATTGTGTCCTTGTTGTGATTGTGAGTCACTAGTGTGTTTATCAGAACTGGTTGGGTGTGAGATCATAAGGGTGTCACTGTGCTTGTGTATCAGTGACATTGTGTGTCAGAGTGATACCGACAGTGAATTACGTCATTGAGATTGCATGTGCCTAGGCAAGGCTGTGTCACTGTGATTGTGGGTCTGGGTAGGGCTGTGTGTGCTGGGACTGTGTCTGTGTCACTGGGACGTTGTGTTGGTGTGACGCTGTGTGCGTGGTGTGATGCATGTTGCTGGGGCTGTCTGTGTGTGTCACAGTGTGTATCACTGTGATTGAGTGTGTGCGGACGGACGACCCTGCGTGTCCCTGGGACCGTGTGTGTGCGCGCCACTGTGATTGTGTGTCAGCGTGCTTCGCTGGGTGTCGGGGGAAGGTGCGCGTGTCTCCAGGCCTCCTGCCCGAGAACAGCGGCGCTGCTCTCTGATTGGCTGCGGCCTCGCCAGTGAGGAGCTGGGGAGCGCTGCGGTAACTTGGTAACTTGGTAACTGGCCCGCGCCGCGGGCTGGGGGCTGGGC